GAGTTGGCACCGACTCCATGGCAGTGAATTTTGAGTTTTTATAGCTCGAGTTAATTTCCGGGTGCCATACCAATTGAGGGGGTCACCGACAACTCAGCTGGGACAAGGGGCAGGTCTCATTTCTTGTTCAGGGGCTTCTCAATGTACTGATTGTGCCGTCCTGGGTACTGGGTGACCGCGCCCAACAACCTGGACAGGACACCCCTGCTCAGCCCACTACATCCCAGCGCGGGTCCCGCCTCTATCCTCAGTTCCTTAAGATTCAGGGAATAGGAGTTTGTTGAAGTCCAGCCTAGGGATTAGAAAGATACAACTTGCCCTCTTGAAAGGAGCCCTGATGGTATAGTGGTTACTGGTTCGGCTGCTAGCCACAAGGTCAGCAGTTTGAAACTACCAGCTGCTCCTCAGAAGAAGCGTGGGGCTTTCTACCCCCCCAAAGGAGTTCAGCCTCGGAAACTTACAGGGGCAGTTCTACTCTGTCCTATAGGTCACTGTGAGTCGGCCTCACCTCAGTGGCACTGAGTTTGGTTTGGTTTGGTCCTCTGGAAGCTCCTTTGGGCAAGGCCGAGAGAGCAGCTAAAGTCCCAGGACACTGCAGGAGAGGAATGGGGGAGGTAGAGGCGGTAGTGAAGGTTCCAGATGGGGGCAGCCTTCAGGAGGGAGCTGTTGCAGGCTTGCAGGGGTGGCCAGTTAGTGCACAGGGCTCTCGGGGACAGCAGGTGCCGTGATGTGGCTCCTGGGTAAAAGGTAGAAGAGGAGGGGTCCTGTGCTGAGGCCTGGGAGCAGGGTGGGCACAGGTCAGCAGTGCCCAAACGTTCTCAGACAGGGCTTGCAGAGGATCCTCTGAAAAAGCCTGTCTGCTGGTTGACAAGACAAGGCGGGGTCCCTGCTGCCCAGGGCCCTTCGGTTGGAGGTCGGCTCCTGCCATGAGAAGTTGCAGGGAGTTCCCCCCTTGGGCAGAACCCTGCCTCTGAGTTGTGCCGTGTCCTTCAAGGGCCCCGTGGTCGCCTCCATGATGCTCTGTGGGTGCTGCCTCTCGGGCTCAGATAACGAGTTGGACATGTACCCAGGAAGTGAGGGGTTTGGCAGGGAGATACGCAGCCCCCCCCAACCCCCCGGCACTCAGCCAGCAGTGCTTTCCCTCCCCTGCCCTGCCCTGTCCTGCTGCAGGGATGAGCTCAAACGGCATTACAACCTGGGCGAGTACTGGATCGAGGTGGAAATGGAGGAGCTGGCCAGCTTCGATGAGGACCTGGCTGACTACCTGTACAAGCAGCCAGCCGAGCACTTGCAGCTGGTGAGGGGCAGCCCTGTCCCTGAGCCCGCCCCCACCTCCCCCAGGGCCAGCGCTGCCCCGGTCGGTCTGTCACCACTGCCCCCTGCCTCCTTTCTAGCTAGAGGAAGCTGCCAAGGAGGTGGCTGATGAGGTGACCCGGCCCCGGCCCGTCGGCGAGGAAACACTCCAGGACATCCAGGTCATGCTCAAGTCGGAAGCCAGCCCATCCAACATCCGTAGCCTGAAGGTGGGTCCGAGGGGTGTGGAGGGGGCTCCGGAGATAGGTGGGCCTGGCCACCAGCTTCATGGCCAAGGAGCAAGCCACTCGACCTTTGTGCACCCATTTCCTCCTCTGTGAAACTAACTCTGGGTCCAGAGCCTCCAGAACCCCTGGTTGCAGGGCCTGGAAGAACAAGCGTGATCTAAGGGGATGCCCCGCTGCCCTCTTGGGGGAGATGAACTATGCCAGTAAAGTCACACACAGTGACATGGCATTTGGCCATCATGCAACGCGAGAAATCAAGGGGAGGTGGGGGTGTAATGGGAGCCAGAGAAAAAACGGAAAAGCCGTAGAAGTCTTCTTTGAAGGGGGAGCTCCTGATTGGATGTGAGGTCCTTCGACAGTGATCATGTCTGAAGCCCATGTGTGTCCTGTGCAAGGTCTGGGATGGGTGCCCCCCCTCCCCCTCTCTGAAAGTACCGCCTGGCTCTGCAACGGTATGCTAGCAGAACTGGCCAGCAGCAAAGAAGCAATTGCCGTGACCTTCTATGGGGCCTTTGCAGAGCCCCAAATAGTCTGCTACCTTCCACTCAGGAAGACATGGGACCGGAACCGCCACGGACCAGACCGTAGTCACAGTTGGGGGCTCGGGCTGGATGTGGGGTATAGTCCTAGGTCGGGAGCTTGGCTATGGCATGGCTCGATGCAGAACAAATACCACCGCTAGGCTCGACCTCCTGTTTTTGGTAAAACCCTTTTGGGTTTGGTTTTTTTTGGGGTGGGGTGTTGAGCCAAAACAGGTAGCTTTTTGGTCAAATGAGGGGTGCAAAGTGGACTTGGGGGAAGTGGGGATCCCCATATAGGAACAAGTCCACTACGAGCTGTTCAGCATACAGGTTTTCAGCAGAACAGAAGTATCTCCCGCAGAACAAGTATCTCCCCATCCTGTAGCTCTGCGCCCCTCCCCTGGTTCCACAGCACGCTTCCCCGTGTGCTTCAGCTGGTAAAGGCACGCTCTGCCCATGTGGCTCAGTGACTAGCCCGGCGGTGCTGGCTGTGCCGGCTCCCTGTATGTAACCTGCCATCTCCCGGGGCTTCTGTTGTAGTCTGATATGATGTCACACCTGGTGAAGATCCCCGGCATCATCATTGCGGCCACTGCGGTGTGTGCCAAGGCCACCCGCATCGCCATCCAGTGCCGCAGCTGCCGCAACACCATCACCGACATCGGCCTGCGCCCGGGCCTGGAGGGCTATGCCCTGCCCAGGAAGTGCAACACGTGAGTGTGTGTGTGTGTGTGTGTGTGTGTGCACGTGGGGTGGCCCAGGGGGGTGATGAAAGGCTGTTCTACCATGTAGGTGAGCTCTGTCCCTGCTAGGGTACCCAGGCAGCCTCTGCCGGGGGACCTCCCCCTTGGGGATGGGAAAGATAAGCTGCCAGAGCTGTGTCTATCGGGAACCTCCTCTCAGGTCAGCAGGCTGATGATCCCAGCCTTGCTGGCCTGTGACTTTCAATGCTGCTGGGGACTGTGACCTCAGGGCCTGCAACACTTGGCTGGCCCTTTCCATCCCTGGATCCAAGGGACCCCCACCCTCTGCTCTCACTGGCCTCCTGCTCCCCCTTTCCCTAGCTTCCTCGACATTAGCCCCGGGCTCACCCCAAGGTGGCTCAGGCTGTCATAGGTGGCCCACGGGTGTCTCCACAACCTGCCGACCTCCCACGCGGGTGTCCAGTAGGCCTTCCACCGGGCACGCCCAGGTGGTGCATGTGGCCCTCCTGTCTCAGACCCAGTCCCCGGCATTCCCTGCAGAGTGGGCACAGGCCTGCAACCTTGGCCCCTGCACGCTTCCTCCATCCTGCCTTTGAACAGAGCAGCATCTCTGGTTCTGCCACCAGGCGTGTTAGGTACAGACTCACTCTTCCCGCCGGTGCCACCTCCGTCTGTTGTGACGAGGCCGCACCTGGGACCAGGGCAGTCTGTCCTCCCTGGCCCCTCTGTCCTGCCTTGCCCACTCTCCGTGGCCACCCAGGCTCCTCTGAGTCTCGCTGTGTCCCCTGCGTGAACACGTTGTCTCAGGCTACACGGCTGTGCTGTCTCCTGTCCCTCCAGTGTGCTGCTGAGAGCATGTCACTCATCCCCCAGCTGGCCAGTCACCTGGGTGCTCACACCCCACCTGCTTTCTCCAGGCTCCAGCACAGCGATGTCTGTCCCTGGGGGTTTGCTCTCTTCTGCCCGACTAGAACTGGGCTTCCTAAGAGCAGGGCCCTTTTGCTCCTGGCCGGTGGGGGTCTCCTGCACCCAGACCCATGCCTGGTGCTTGGCTGTGGTATTTGCTGAGTACCCTAAACCAAGCCAAACCTTCTGGAATCGAGTTGATTCCAACTCGTAGTGACCCTGTGTTGTTAGGTACCATTGAGTCAGTTCTACCACAGCGACCCCACGCCATGCCCGGTCCTGTGCCATCCTCACAACTAATTGTTCCTGTGCCCGAACCTGTTCATGCAGCCAAGGTGTCACTCCATCTCTGAGCACCTTCCTGTTTTCCCCTTTACCAAACATGGCATCCTTCTCCAGGGATGGGTCTCTCCTGACAACATGTCCAAAGGATGTCAGACAGCGTCTTGCCATCCTCGACTCTAAGGAGCGCTCTGGCGTAACGTCTTCTCACACAGATCTGCTTGTTCTTTCAGCAGTACATGGTACAGTCTTCTCCAGCACCACAATTCAGTGTATCGATTCTCCTTTGATCTTCCTTATGCAGTGTCCAACTTTGACATGCATATGAGGCAACTGAAAATACCATGGCTTGGGTCAGATGCACCTTAGTCCTCAAAGTAATATCCTTGCTTTTTTAATACTCTGAAGAGGTCGTGTGCAGCAGATTGACCTAATCCAGTTGTTCTCAACCTTCCTAATGCTGTGACCCTTTCAGACAGTTCCTCATGTTGTGGTGACTCCCCAACCATAACATTATTTTTGTTGCTACTTCATCACTGTCATTTTGCTACTGTGATGAATCAGACGCCCCTGTGAACGGGCCATTCAACACCCAAAGGAGTCGCGGCCTACAGATTGAGAACTTCTAACCTAATCCAGTCTGTCTTGATCTCTTGACTGCTGCTTCCATGAGCATTGATTGTGGATCCAAAGAAGACAAAATCCTTGACAACTTCAGCCTTTTCTTCATTTATCTGATGTGACCTCTTGGTCTAGTGAGGTTTGGGCCTTTGCATTGAGTTGGCATCCGTCCTGCAGGCTGCGGTCCTTGATCTTCATCAGCAAGTGCTTCGCTTCCTCCCTTTCAGCAAGCAAGGCCGTGTCGTCTGCAGGGTGCAGGTTGTTGATAAGCCTGCCTCCAATCCCGATGCTGCGTTCTTCTTCAGCTAACCCCGCTTCTCGGACTTGCTCAGCATGTTAAACCCCGCAGTGCGCCCTTGCTGTTCACATTCCTGCCTCTTGACCTCACGTATGACGTCCCCATGAGCACAGTAAAGTGCTCTGGAATCCCTCTTCTCAAGTTACTGACAGCCACGTCCACACAATCGACACCTTTGTGCAGTCAGTAGAACAGGCAGGCATCCTCTACTCTCCGCCAAGGTCCATCCGGCATCAGCAGTGACAGCCCTTGTTCCATGTCCTCTGACGCATCCGGCCTGAGCTTCCCTCTCCCGCCCTGTGCTGCTGCAGCCGTTGTTGGCTCGCAGAGGGTAGAGCCGCTGCCCCGCAGGCTTTCTGAGGCCATGAGTACACAGAAGCGGACTGCCATACCTGTCTTCCGCAGAGCGCCTGGCTGGGCTCAAACTGCCGACCTTTCAGGGAGCCCATTAGCTACACCATCAACGTGCCCCCCCAACTACCAAACCAGCCTCTGCCATGGAGTCGAGTCACTTCCTGCCTTGGATGGCTGTGGGGTTCCGAGACTGTCTCTGTAAGGGAGTGGAGAGCCTCCCCTTTGTCTCTCGGGGCAGCGGGTGCGTCTAACTCCTGACCTCATGGCGGCCCGGCCCAGAATCTGCCCCGTCAGCACAGGTCCGCTGTGCTGCCACGGCCTCACTCAGGAGTGACAGCCCAGAGGCCTGACCGCGGTTGTGAGGGTCTCGGAACCTCGCTGGAACTGATTGTGGGATATGAGTCTGGGGCTAGTAAGGGCATGGATAATCCGGCTCTAGATGGCGCAGTGGTTTAAGCGCTTGGCTGTGACATCAGAGGTTAGTGGTTCGGCCCCACCAGCTGCTGCTCCGAGGGAGAACCCACCAGGGTGCTTGGGCCACGATGGCCGTCCTTGGAGACCCTGCAGGGCGGCTCTGCCCTGCCCTGCCAGGGTCGCCCTGCGTTGGGGAATGGCTTTGAGTGGTTTCCCTGTGTTCCCTGCGGCCCTCGAGGGCGAGGCGCTGTGGCTTGTCTGCTGCCCTTGGGCCTCCAGCGGGTCTCCCGCCTGCGACCTAGTGTCTGGCCCAGCTCATCCGGGGACCCTTCAGGCCCTGCTACTGACTCGTGGTGACTCGGTTTTGATCGGCACCCTCTCCACCGTGCCACGCAGGGATCAGGCCGGGCGCCCCAAGTGCCCTCTGGACCCGTACTTCATCATGCCTGACAAGTGCAAGTGTGTAGACTTCCAGACGCTGAAGCTGCAGGAGCTGCCTGACGCGGTGCCCCACGGCGAGATGCCCAGACACATGCAGCTCTACTGTGACAGGTGGGCGGGCTGCAGAGGGGAGGGAGGTGCCCAGCTAGTCCCTGGTGGTCCCATCTCGTTCCTCTCTCCTTCCCTAATCTACCGGGGGCTCCTTCAGCCCACTTTGTGGCTGGGGACTGACTGGCCTCACGTGGACAGGAGCTGGGTTTGACATCTACACCCCGGGCTTCCCTCAGTCCCTGGAACAGCTATTTGTATAGCCCTAGAACAGGGGTCTCAGATGTGCCCTCCCCCACTGTGAGATCGATACCCAGTGGCAGGGAAAGCCTCTCCCCCCAGGCCTATGGTCAATGTGCCCCTGGAGTTACAGTGGCACTTAAAGAGGGGGCTGGGCCCGCTCCCCTCTAGCCCTGAAGCTGCAGGCCCGTGTTCCGGCAGGTGACTTTCTGGAAGTGTGCCCATGCCTTTCCCCAGCAGCCTCGGAGGCAGTTGAGCCTGGAGGAGCTGGCCAAGACTAAGGGTCAGGGTGACCTGAGCCCACCATCAGCTCCAAGTAGGGAAGCACACGGCCTGGGCCCCGCCCCTGGGACTTTCTGCAGATAGTACAGTGGGCAACAGTATCTCCGGGGCGGGGCTGGGCACGGGAGAGGCGTCGCAGGGCCATCCTGGGGTGGTGCTGCCCCTCCATGGAGCTGTGATTCTTGCTGTCTGACCCCCGACCCCACAGCAGGAGCGGCTGTGTCACCCCCCACCTCAGTTGAGCTTGAGACCCGGAGGGGCACAGCGACTGCCTTGAGGACACAGCTGAGCAGCTGAGGGCAGCCCGAGGGCCTCTGCTAGACAAGGTTCTCTAGAGAAACAAAACCAGGACACTTAGGATTTCATATGTATTTATATAGATAAATAGATCTACAACATAAGAAGTAAACAGCTAATTAGTCTATCGAGTAGTACAAATGGCTCAATGCAATGGTTCAGAGACAGCTAATACACTGGCAGGCCTTCAGGTCTAGAGGGCCACCCTGTGCAAGTCAAGGAAGCAGACAGCTGAGTCCTCTGTAGAGCAATTCAGGCAATCCAGCCACAGGCAGCAAATAGCAAGGCAGGTTATCAACAGTGATCCAGAAGACAGGGTCTGACAGTCCCCAGCTCAAGTGATGTATACTCCAGTAACGTGGCGAAGCAGGTCTTGAAGGAACTTCAAAGTATAGAGACACAGTCCATGGGTTAGGTGTCCCACAGGTAGTGTAGCTTGCAAGTTGAGGCAGAGAACAAGTAAGGCAGCCACACAGTGGTCTGATCATCAAAGAGCAAGAGACCAGAAAGGTGAGGCTCGCTGAGCCATATATCTCTCTGCCCTTTAATTAATCCCACATGTGTTCATAGGCCAGGTTGGCACAATAAACCTATCAATCACAGGACCCCTCCAAGCCCTGCTGCCTCTGGGGTCAGCGTGAGAGGCAGGCAGGTGGGCTCAGCCGAGCTCACAGGGCTGGGAGGGTAAAATGAGAGACTGGTGACAAGTCTGACTGAAGATATGGTGGAGAGGAGGCTTCTGCAGGGTTGGGATTGTCAGCCCCAGGCCCCTCACCAGCCTAACATGAAGTCCAGAAGGTGGGGCGCCCCCATCATGGGCTTGTTAACACTACCCTCTAAACCGTGAGTGCCAAGGCGGTGTTAGGCACTGGTGCCCGGGAGAGGGGTGGAAGCAGGGTCAGGTGGATTGTGGGTGTGATGGGCACACAAGGAGCACTGGGGGTCTGCTGACCACCCCCAGGCTCTCATCTCCCCGATCACGTTCTCTCAGGTACCTGTGTGACAAAGTCGTCCCTGGGAACAGAGTCACCATCATGGGCATCTACTCCATCAAGAAGTTCGGCCTAACCTCCCGCCGAGGCCGAGGTGGCGACAGGGTGGGCGTGGGCATCCGGAGCTCTTACATCCGGGTCCTGGGGATCCAGGTGGACACTGACGGCTCAGGTGAGTTTAGTGGCCAACTGCACTTCAAATAGCTCAGGGCCTCAAGAGGCAGCTGGTGCGGGGGGCCCTGGCACTGCCCAGGCTGCTAGAAGGGTCCATCTGTAGATTAAGAGAAGCCTGTCTCTGTGGAGTGTCCATCTGCTGGTCCTCACTGCGCCTGGGCCTCAGCCCTTGCCTCCGTGCCTCCTTTTCCATGCGGTGGCCATTGTGTGGTTCCTTTGCTGGAATGGCCCCGCTCCTCTCCGCTAAATGAGAGGCTCTGTGGGGGTCCTCGAGGTCCTGACCTGTGTGGCCTGGCCGGGGGCACATGGGTCTCCACCTCTGCTCAGGCCAGGGCTGTGCGTGTCCCCTCTGGGAGCCTGTGAGTGGCTGGGCGGGGGAATGGGCTGCAGGAGGGTCCCCCGTGATCATGTCTTGCGCCTCTGTCTGCCAGGCCGCAGCTTCGCGGGGGCTGTGACCCCACAGGAGGAGGAGGATTTCCGCCGCCTGGCCTCGCAGCCCCACATCTACGACGTCATCTCCAGGAGCATTGCGCCCTCCATCTTTGGGGGCATGGACATGAAGAAGGCCATCGCCTGCCTGCTGTTCGGGGGCTCCCGGAAAAGGTGAGGAGCCGGGCCCAGCAGCCCACCTGATGAGGCAGACTTGAATGGGACCCTGGCTCTATTCCTGCCCACCAGGTCTTCCTCAAGGCCAGCCTGGCTGGTGGCTGATGTCGGGCTGATTCCCTAAGCTAGAGGAGGCGGGGCTCCTGGCTGGGGGCTGATCCCCACCTTAGCTGGCGGGAGGGGTGTCCTGGAAAGAGCAAGGGGACAGCACTGGCGACTTGGGGTCAGGAGAGGACAAAGTCTGTGTGACCCGGGCAGAGACACCACCTCTCTGAGCCAAGTTCTCTCGTGCCCGACTGGCCCCGCCGAGTCACAGGTGGGAAACCTGAGGCTCAGGCCGAGGCAACAGAAAGTAACCACGGTAACAGGATTGTTATTATTACTAAGAGCTGATGTGTACCGGCCAGGGGGCCTCCGTGGTGGCAGAGTGGTCACACGGTGGGCTGCACTAGCCGTTCCTCGGGAACAAGGCCAGGCTTTCTACTCCCATCAGGAGTGACCGTCTGAGAAACCCACAGGGGCAGCTCTTCCCTGTGCAGTAGGGTCGCTGTGCTGTGAGTAATCCGAATCCACCCCAGGGCAATGGGTTTGCTTGTTTGTTTTTAACATTGACTGGTAGTCCTGGGTGCAGCGTGGGTCCCCTAATGCGAAAGCAGGCACGGGCTCCCTTGTGCCTACTTACTCGTTTGTAGTGAAGACGGAAGAAATGCAAGTGAGCCACGCTTACCTTGCTTATCAGGTAGCACCCTGGGGAACACGCTGCACTGCTGACTGAAAGGTTGGAAGCTCGAGCCCCGGCAGAGGTGCCCCAAAAATGAGCCGCCAAGAACCCCGGGGAGCCCAGTGCTACTGTGACACCGTGGGGTCACCACGGAAGCTGACTGGCAGTTTGAGAAAAGCTCTTCCACCATGCTAGACCCCCGCTGAGCGTTCACGTGCCCCGGCATCCTTTGAAAGGCTTCTATGTCAGTTTTTCCAGTCATCCTGTGGGAAAGCTATATTGCACCCATTTTGTCGATGAGGAAATTGAGGCAGGGTTCCTAGAAGGGCTTGTTCAGGGTCGCTGGGATCCTGCCTTCCGGGCTGTGTCACTGTGCTGTGACAGCCTCTCTTCTCTTCCCTGAGCCAGTTTTACTGCCACCTGCTGGGGGCCCAGGCAGTCACAAGTGCCAAGTTTAATGCTTCCCCACCACGTGAGGCTCCTTCGGCTAGAGGGTGACAGCTGGGTGTGTCCCCTGCCTGCCTGCCGGCTCTGAGCCCTGTGGTAGTCCCCCTCCCCTCAAGGGTGGGTTCTCACCCCACTGCTCCCTCAGGCTCCCAGACGGACTCACTCGCCGTGGGGACATCAACCTACTGATGCTGGGGGACCCTGGCACGGCCAAGTCCCAGCTTCTGAAGTTTGTGGAGAAGTGCTCCCCGATCGGGGTGAGTGGCAGGGGGAACCCTCCTCCCTACCGCCGGGGTCCCTGTTGGGCTGCGCAGATGTATAGAGATGACGAGGGGCTTGCGGTGGGGAGGGGTCAGGAGACGCGTCACGCTGAGTCCCACCGGAAGAATGAGGGCCTCCAGGGGCTCACCTTTGAGCTGGGCCCAGCAGGTCCTCCCCAGGGCACTGGAGGCTCTGAGGAGCTGCTGACACGAGTGCCCAGCTAGTCAGGCTGAAGCCAGGGTGTCCCCTCCCCACACTGCAGAGACGGATGCTGGTGGGAGTCTCGAGCTGTGTTCTGTGACTTGGGATCAGCCCTCAGCCTCCGGGCCCTTGGCCCATGGAGCTGGGACAGGAGCTGGAGCAGGTAGCGGCCGGGCCCTGACGCTCAGTGCCCCTCACGCAGGTGTACACGTCCGGGAAGGGCAGCAGCGCGGCCGGCCTGACGGCCTCCGTCATGAGGGACCCCTCGTCCCGGAACTTCATCATGGAGGGCGGGGCCATGGTCCTGGCCGACGGCGGGGTGGTCTGCATCGACGAGTTTGACAAGGTGAGGGGGCGTCCCATGGAGCGGGTGGTCCTGGGACGGGTCCTCCTGGGCCGGCCCCTGTCCACATTGGAGAGTGGGGACTGGTGAGTGGCCGCTCGCTGCTGTTTGGGGCCTTGCTGCCATCACTGCCCCGCCCTCCTGGCCAGGGTGGGTCTGAGGGACGGGTCTCTCCCCCATCAGATGCGAGAAGACGACCGTGTGGCCATCCACGAAGCCATGGAGCAGCAGACCATCTCCATCGCCAAGGTGGGCGTGCTGGCAGGACCCCCGCCCCCCCTTGCCGGGTGATGGCAGGTTGGGAATCTGGGGAGGGGGTGGTGTAGCCAAGGCCTTGACCCCCTCCGCCTCCCTCAGGCCGGGATCACCACCACCCTGAACTCGCGCTGCTCGGTCCTGGCTGCTGCCAACTCGGTGTTTGGCCGCTGGGACGAGACCAAGGGGGAGGACAACATCGACTTCATGCCCACCATCCTGTCCCGCTTCGACATGATCTTTATCGTCAAGGACGAGCACAACGAGGAGAGGGACATGGTGCGTGCCGCGGGCGGGTGGGCGGGGCTGCTGCGGAGGGCAGGGCCCCGGGCCGATGGCACGTGTGGTCCAGGTCCAGGGCTGTGCTGCTTCGAGCCCAGGGGGCCCAGGCCCTGCGTGAAGGCTCTCTGTTCAGGCAGCGTCACCCTGTGGTGGCTGAGATGGCTCTAGGGCAGCGGTTCTCAACTTGTGGGTCACGACTCCTTTGGGGGTCCAACGACCCTTTCACAGGGGTTGCCCGATGCATCACAGTAGCAAAATGACAGTGATGAAGTAGCAACGAAAGTAATTTTGTGGTTGGGGGGTCACCACCATGAGGATGAGGAACTGTATGAAAGGGTGGTGGCATGAGGAAGGTGGAGAACCGCTGCTCTAAGGGAAAGCAGGCGCTCCTCTTTTCTATTAGTAGCAGCAACAGTCCCAAGGAGGACTCTGATTGGCTGAGGTTGGACAGACGCCCCACTCTGAAGCAGAAACTGGTTGTCATTGGCTGGGCCTGGCTGTGTGCCCACCTCTGCGGGTGGACAGGTGGGGTTTCGTCAGGGGCAGGGGTGCTCAGTGCTCAGGTGGAAAACCCAGTTGCTCTTCTGAGGGCAGGGCGGGGCTCGGGGGGCCTGGGAGTGAGCAGGAGGCTTGGGCTGAGGTCTGAATTCCTGGTTCCATGATTCTGGGGCTCCAGCTCCATCAGCTGTGTTGGGACCCAGGCTGGGAGGGGCTGTGGGCTGAGCCAGTGTCTGTCCGGCCCCCAGATGCTGGCCAAGCACGTCATCACCCTGCACGTGAGCGCACTGACGCAGACGCAGACGCCGACGGTGGAGGGTGAGATCGACCTCACCACCCTGAAGAAGTTCATCGCTTACTGTCGCGCGTGAGTCCCTGCCGGGGGGATGCCACCTTCTTGCTGGACACCCCCCTCCCCCCGCCGTTCCATAGGCGTTAGCTCTGCTGCTCCTCAGCCTGCACAGGTCACAGGCTCCTGGCCTCAGTTTCCCGTTTTCAAATCAAGTGGGTAGGAGTAGATGGTCTGGAAGACCCCCCTCAACTTGGACGTGCAGGCAGGGAGGGCAGTGTGCCGGCCATGGGCATGCTGGCTGTGTATCTTGAGGCCAGCAGTTGACCTCTCTGAGCCTTGATTTCCCAGGTGAGGTCAGGATGGCATACTGTAGTGCTGGCGTTGCCCGCACCAGGTGGATGGCAGCTGCAGTCGGGGCTGGCCCTCAAGGCCCTCCCTCAGGAAGCCTCACTGGCCCGTTGCATGGTCCGATGGGTCCTGGCTGCCGCACGAGGTCTGCTCCTGAGTGTTGTTAAAGTCGAGGGGTGGGCGCATCAGAACAGATTCACACTCACGGCTCTTTAGTGTGGAGCTTCGAGCCTTCTCCACGATGTACGGTCACGCAGCAAGGGGAGGTGATTGTGATGCAGACTTTGCTGGAAATAGAGTAGAGATTTGTGTCAGTCATTCCAAAGTGGGGGCACCGTTCCACAGAGGACAAGGAAGTCACCTGGGGACCCTGCGTCTGATCGGTGACACGTAGTCCTCAAGGCGGCCCTGGGGAGGAGTAGAACTGTCCTGGAGCATTTCCATGGCGATAGTTTCTATAGAAATTGCTTGCCACATCTTCCTGGGAGTGACTGGTGGGTTTGAACTGCAGACCTTTAGGCCAGTAGCTGGGCACTTACCCAATGTGCCACCAAGAAACCCAAACCAAACCCACTGCCACCGAGCTGGTGCTGACTCACAGAACTGCCCCGTGGGTTTCAGAGACCGTCACTCTATGGGAGTGCCAAGAGCCGTCCTGCTCCTGAGGAGCACCTGCTGATTCGAAGCTGCTGAGCCTGCTGTCAGCAGCCCAGCGCTCGTGGCCCCTGCACCTCCAGGGCTCCTGGTTCTATTTAGGCAGTGGTGGAACTCGAGGTCCCGTGCCCTCGGGTGAGCAGTGGAAGGCTGCGATCGGGCAGGTCCTAGCACCCCAGTTTAGCCAGAGCGGATGGGGGCGTGGTGGCCTCAGGGTTCCTGGGTCTGGAGCAGAGGGCTTGGCCCATGGCTGTGAGTTGAGGGTCCTGGAATCTACTGTAAACTCCCAGGTGGTCCAGGAGCTGGGGCCCTCCCTTCACCCTCTTCTTTTCTGCCTCATTCTTCCAAGAGCTGAAGCTTCCTTGAATCCATGGTGGTCTGTCCCCCAGCAGGGTGGCCGGGCTAGGCTGGGGGCATGCTGAGCAGACCCGTGCATCCTCAGTGTGTTTATGGAGGGCAGTCAGGCCTCTGAAGCTGCTTCCGTTCTGGGCAGTGTCCTTCTTCTGTCAGTCACCGGGGCAGGGGGCAATGCCCACCTTGCGACGAAACACCGCTCTGAGTCCCACGTCCAGGGAGGGACACTGGTCACCGCTGCAGCTGGCTTGGCTTCCCTCTCCTTGCTCTTCCCCCAACCTCTGCCCACAGCCAGCTCTTAGCTTTGTCTGTACCCACTGGCGGTGCCCAGCCCTGGGAGTGTGTGGCGTGCGGGGCCTCACGCCAGCTACGCCCCACTGCCCTGCAGGAGGTGTGGCCCCCGGCTGTCTGCAGAGGCTGCAGAGAAACTGAAGAACCGCTACATCATCATGCGGAGTGGGGCCCGGCAGCACGAGCGGGACAGCGACCGCCGCTCCAGCATCCCCATCACTGTGCGGTGAGAGACCGCACCTGCAGCCTTGCCCATCACTGTGTGGGGAGCGGGGAGCAGGCACGGGCGGCCCCAGTCACTGTGCCGGGTCAGGCTGGGGCTGCCCAGGGCCAAGTATGTGTGTGCGCACCTGGGAAGCCCTGCCCACAGAAGGTCCCTGAGTGGAGAGACCCTGGCCTCAGTGGGCTTCCTTGGTTTGTTTAAGGCTGGGGGCCCTGTGCTCTAAGGGGGTCCCTTTTGGGTGGTGAGCTGCCTGAGGGTGAAGGCAGGCCTGGGCAGGGGCTCAGGAGACAGGCTTCCAGCCGCTGACCCAACCTGGCTCAGGGACACTTCTTTCTGCTTGTCCTGTGTGGGCCTGTAGAAGAGAGCAGCTCAGAGCCAGGCCGCCTGGTTTGAATCCAGTCTCTGCCGAATGTGTTGATAAGATTCTTGGAGAGCTGTCTTCTCTGGAGGTCACTGGCCCGGGCTAGCCCCCTCTCTGCCCAGCCCAAGACCGTCAGCCTCCAGCCGAGGCCCCGGTGGCCGCAGTGGTGGAGGTGGGGTGGGGAGGGAGCCACTCACTGGAACCACTCAGGGCGCAGAGCTGGTGCTTGCTGGCTCCTGACAAATTCAGCAAATGCAGCGTGAACCAGCTTCGCTGGGCAGCGTGGGTGGCCACACTGGACCTTGGGGTCCCTAACCAAGGAGGGGAGGGAGGCGGATATGAGGGACACCTGGCAGGGCCCACCGCTGCCTCTTGAGCCAGCTCCCGAGGTTGGGGAGCGCCCTGAGCAGTGCGCCCCGGCTTCCGGCCCCCAGGCAGCTGGAGGCGGTCGTGCGCATCGCTGAGTCCCTCAGCAAGATGAAGCTGCAGCCCTTCGCCACCGAGGCCGACGTGGACGAGGCCCTGCGGCTCTTCCAGGTGTCCACGCTGGATGCCGCTATGTCTGGCACGCTGTCAGGTGAGGGGCCGGGCGGGCCTCTATCCCTCTCCCCACATCCGCCACTCCGTTTCCCCCTGACCCCGGCACACAGTTCGAGAACAGCTCTTGGTTTTTGACCCTTGGTCTAGAGCAACAGCCAGCCCTCCTGAGTTGGGCTTGTCCCCTTTTTTAGGGTGCCTAGAGGGCTCCCCGTGGTGCCCCCAGGGGCGGTCAACACCGCCCCCCCCCCAGTGGTCCTTGCCCTCGGTGTGCAGCTCTCCCAGGAGAAGCCCTCCTGTTCACCCAGCAGACACGGCCAGTAGACCTCTGCATGTCTAGTGTTTGCCAGACACTGTGCTAGGTGCCCGGGAGCCCTGGTGGTGTCGTGGTTCAGCCTTGAGTGGCTGACAACAAGGTCTGCAGTTGGACACCACCAGCCCCTCCATGGGAGGAAAACGGGGCTTTCTACTCGCAGAAGAAATTTCAGACGCCGTGCTTTGTCGGACATGGTGTTTGATCAAGTAGAAGGGCGTTGAGGGAGGGGCCCTCAAGGAGGCGGTGGACACAGTGGCTGCAACAACGGGCTCAGGCACAGGGACGATGGTGAGGGTGGCGCAGGACCGGGCAGTGCTGCATTCCCTGTGGGTAGGGTCTGTGGTTTGGAACTGACTCAGTGCCACCTTGTTAACAACAACAGGCTCAGAAGCCCACAGGCGGCTCCGCCCTGTCCCATAGGGGAGCTCGGTGTCGCCATCGATGGGACAGCTCTGAGTTTGGTCCTAGACGCCAGGAGTGGCTTGTCCAGCGTTGTCCAGTGGATTTCCACAGAGTGGGCAGCCCCATTGAGCTTTGTCTGCTCTAAGGTCCCTCGGTCTATCCGACCCTGAGGAGCTGCAGGAAGGGCTGGGAAGAGGAATATAAGCCTGTGCCCTGGGGTGGGGGGCTCTCCCCCCTGTGGGGGCAGGGTGACAATGGTAAAAAATGCAGCATGAGGTAGGAGGAGCGGGGAGTGCGACAGGGCCAGCACAGGAGGCTTCTGTAGATGGCTGAGTCGGGCAACTCCTCAGGAAGGGGCAGTGAGCAGGGACAGGTGTGAGCACCCTACACCATTGAGGGTCGTGCAGGACCAGGGAGCAGAGTGAGGGAGGTGGCAGCTGGGCAGTGGGTCTGCTGACTCACAGCCACGGTGCCCTGAAGGGCTTCCTGTCACACAGGACACTTGCAGGCCTCGTGTGGGGCTACTGGGCCTGAGCTGGGCCTTGCAGGCTGTTGGGGATCTTACCTGGCAGACACTTACTTCCCCCGGGGCAGTGCCCATCTCAGTGCCCCGAACCTGCTGTGCCCTCTGCCCGGGCCATAATTCCCTAAATGTTTGCCCTCACTATCTGGCTCCCCCTCCCCAGGGAGGCCTGTGGTCCTCCCCAGAGAGACCTTTGCTCCCCCTCCCAGAGAGGCGTCTGACCCTCTCTCCCTGGCTCCCACTCCCAGAGGCCTCTGACCCTCTCTCCTTGGCTCCCCCTCCTTAGAGAGGTCTCTGCCCCATCTCCCTGGCTGCCCCTCCCCAGAGAGGCCTGTCGCCCTAACTCCCTGGCTCCCCTTCCTCAGGCTACGTACCTGGGCACTGTCGTACCTGGGCACTGTCGGGCACTGTCGTTCTTTCTCTGATGTCTTTCCTGGGCTGGCTCAGGCTGCTCTTCCTTGGGTTATATAGCGCCCCTGGTGGATAAGCCCAGGGCCCTGCACCCCAAAGCCCCACCCTGACCGTTGCCCCCACCTCACTTGTCCGCTGCAGGGGTGGAGGGCTTCACTAGCCAGGAGGACCAGGAGATGCTGAGCCGAATCGAGAAGCAGCTGAAGCGCCGCTTTGCCATTGGCTCCCAGGTGTCGGAGCACAGCATCATCCAGGACTTCACCAAGCAGGTGGGCTGCCCACCCTACCCCCACCTCAGCCCCCGGGCCGCCCTGCCACTTAATTGAGCACATGATATAGCTCCTCTGAGCCTGTTTATTCTGCTCAGTGGCATGCAGGTCTAGCCTGTTTTTCCGTCTGAGTTGAATTTATTTTTTATTGTTGAAGGCGCCCTGGTAGCGGAGTGGCTTATCCCTCAGGCAGCTAACCACAAGGTTAGCAGTTCAAAACCACCAGCCAGCTCCTCCAGGGAGAAAGAGGGGGCTTTCTATTCCTGAGAGTCAGTCTCAGAAACCCACAGGGCAGTCCTATAAGGTTGCTGTGAGTCGGCATCAACTGATGGCTGAGAGTTTGGTTTTTGAGTTTTGCATTGTTGAAAATGCACACAACACCACGTAGGCTGATCCCACAGTGCCTCGGGTGACAGCCTCACCTCCTCCCAGTGGCTCCTCCCCTGAGGGCTTCCCGTCTCATCTTAGAAGAAAGGCGGTGCTCACTGTCAGAGGAGATAGGATGTGAGCGCCTGTGAAGAGCCAGGCCGAGGGGTGCTTGGGCTTCTGCTGGGCCCAGTGGGTGGGCGTGCAGGGGCCCTGGTGGGTGCTGGCCCCTCCCAGAGGTACATGCCCACATTAGCCCTGTGCCCCACAGAAATACCCGGAGCACACCGTCTACAAGGTCCTGCAGCTCATGCTGCGGCGGGGCGAGATCCAGCATCGCATGCAGCGCAAGGTCCTGTACCGCCTCAAGTGAGCTGCCTGCCCGGCCAGACCTGCACCTCTGGCCTCCTCCGCTTCCTGCTGGCCACCCCAGGGCACAGAGCCACGGAGCTCCCGGAAACATACTTCCAGTGTGTCTTACAGCAAGAAAGCCGTGGATATGTCTGGACGTCTGTGCTGGTGGCCTGTCCCCTCCTTCCACCCTGCCCTCTCCATGAGGTGGCGTGGGGTGGGGGGCCGGTCTTGGACTGGACTGGCTCTGCCCGTTTGGATGGATATTAAAGGTGCGCAGCCTCCGCTGGCTCCTGTGTGTGGACGTGCTTGCTGAGTGAGGTGTCTGTGCTCCCTTGCCTCCACTGCCCGAGAACCCAGCTTTTCTGGCTAGTCTGCGAGCTGCCTCACAGGCTTGTTCTCAGGGTCAGGGAGCTGTTGCTGGCCACCCCGGGGGGTGCAGATGGCTAACACACTCAGCTGACCCAGAGGCAGGCCCTGTGGAAGAAAGGCCTGGGTCCACTGGTGAACAGTCAGCCCTTGGGAGCATGGAGGAGAGCTGTGTGCTGCACTTGGAGCGTCCCCTCTCAGTCTCGCCCCGCAGCCCCCGGCAGGCAGTGGGGTGAGTCCAGTGCAGGCACCAGCTGGGCCTGACAGCAAAGGGGCTAAGCTGCCCCTCTGTCAGTGTGCCCTGGGACCCAGCTGGCACCGAGGAGCTGTGAGGGGGGCGTGGGGCGAGCACCCGGAAGGCAGGATTGGAGGGGGAGACACCGCTGGTGCTTGGCGGATCATTTGTGCCTATGTCTTGTTTTTTAAAGGGAATTCCCTGAAAGGAAAAGCCCATGAAGTGAGACAGGTGAGGGCCTGCGGAGTCCGTTCATAAAGATGGTCATTTGCGTCAGGCCCTGCTTGTAACGCCCTCACAGCAGACCGCACGTCCAGCGCCTCCGTTCCTCCTATCCTTGCCTGTCCACCGTCCACCTGTGGGTAAAGGTTGCCCTTTGATGTCAAAGGGTTGATCGTGCTAAGGACTGCGTACCTCGCTAGTAATGGTAGCCCTTATCACTCCCTGCCAGTCCTGACTCACAGTGACAGGACAGAACAGCCTCTGGGCGTACAAGGCTTTCCCCACGAACGCAGGCGGTGGTTTCAGACTGCCAACTGCGTTTGCCTGCGTGTTGAGCCGTGCAGGGTGAGTCCGGCTCCTGAACTGAGTGTGTCTCATGGGCTACAGCCTCAGGGTGGGGGGTATTCCATCAGTCGTGGACTGGTAAACACGGCCGTTTTTACGACTGAGTTTTGTTCCATATTTTCCTCCCACTCTATTCAGGATCTCGTGGTGTGGCCCTCAGAGCAGTGGGCAGAGGTAGCCGGGCACCATCTAGTTCTGGTCTTGGGATGTGGAGACTGGTGTGTGTGTCCTTCAGTCCAGGGGATTGTTTCCGTACATCTCTGGTTGTCTTCACTCTTGGCTCCCAAAGGAGGGAGGCCCACGGTTGTGCCTTGGCTGCTCGTGAGCTTTCGAGATCCCAGTTGCTACTCACCAGAAACCCAAACTTTGTGCCATGGAGTCGCTGCAGACGCATAGTAACCCTGTAGGACAGGATTAGAACTACCCCTGGGGCTTAACTTTGGGAGTAGAAAACCCCATCTTTCTCCTATAGAGCGGCTGGTGGTTTTGAACTGCTAACCTTGCAGTTAGCAACCCAATGCAGAACCACTACCGACACTCCATCTATTCATCAAAGTAGGATGTACAACATCATGGGCCTTGTTATGCCACTTGACCTAGGTGTCCCTGTGGTCCTGAGCCCCTGGGGTTCCATGTCTCATTTCCTCAAGGTGTTTGATAGGGCCTGAGACGTTCTCATAACTTTGCCTCCAGTGTATTCCATCTCCTTCAGGGATAGCAATGGCAAATGCTCATGTAAAAGTAGCTTCTCAACTCTGTATCTGGGCTCATTCCCTCTCCCCTATACCAATCCTGTGTATATCTGGGGCTTATTCCCACTCCCCTATACCAACCCTGTGTATATCTGGGGCTTATATCCTCTCCCCTATACCAACCCTCAATATATCGAGCTTATACCCTCTCCCCTATACCAACCCTGTGTATATCTGGGGCTTATTCCCTCTCCCCTATACCAATCCTCTGTTATCTGGGACTTATAACCTCTCTCCTATATCAACCATATGTATATCTATGGCTTATTCCCTCTCTCCTATACCAACCCTCTGTATATCTGGGGCTTATTCCCTCTCCCATACCAACCCTCTATCTGGGACTTATACCCTCTCTCCTATACCGACCCTCTATCTGGGACTTATACCCTCCTATACCAACCCTCTATCTGGGACTTATACCCTCTCCCCTATACCAACCCTCTTATCTAGGGCTTATACCCTCTCTCCTATACCAACCCTCTGTATATCTGGGGCTTATTCCCTCTCCCCTCCCTGTTTAGCTGGCCTGTTGGCTCACATTTACTCCTATAGCAATGACCTTGCAGAACTCTTTGGAATGGGCACCTCTTGCCTTTATTTCTTGTGTCCAGTATTTTACACTGTCCTCCCTCTTACTGTTATTAATCTAAGTTAATATGCATCTCCCTCCGGTTAGTGACCCTCCCTTTCCCCTCTGCCCCCAGTGACCATCAGAGAGTGTTTCTCTGCGTACACCCCTCTGCTTGACTCTACAGGACTGGCCTCAGACTGTATGTGTCCTTTTGTGATGGACGCCCTTCACTCAGCATAATGTACCCTTTCTATTTGACACATTCGGAAGTAGACAGCGTCGTGTGAATTCAGGGTGTTGGTTAGAGACAGTTCTTCAGTGACTTCTAGGTGAGGCATTAAGAAACAGCCGGCAGGAGAAGATGGAGACACTTCAATGCCCTTGAGCTCTGTGCAGACGCCCGTGAAAAAGCCCAGCGCGCCTTGGGTGTCTGGTTGGATCACAAGTGAACGGAGCGCCTAACGGCTGCCTGCAGCCTTCCTGTGTCAACCATCCCAGGAACTGTTTGGGGAGGGTTCCCGGAAACGGAGAGGTGAGGGTTATGAGCTAAGTCCGTTTTCTCTGACTCATCTCCTCAAGCCCAGTTTGAGGAGAACTTTCTGAACAGCTTCCCCTGCCTGCGTGGCCATCTCTGTAGATGGCTGTTTCCACTTGGGGGAAGCATTTCCGTTTCCTCTCCACTGTGAAGCTGGCCACTTGACCAGGTGGGGACTGTGAGGCGGCTGTAGCCCCCACTTCAGTTCAGTGATCAGACTGTTCTGTTGGACATTCTGTTGATCCGGCAACAGCAGCATTGTGTCACTGGTTCCTGGGTCATCCTCTGGAGGAACATGGGGGTGCAGGCCCATTCCCCCCAGGGGCACGGGAGAGAGATGTCTTCCCCAAGACCAGAGGGTTTCATCCAGTGATGGTCCTGAGTCAGAAGCCCACAAGTGGTGACTTATCAACCCTGCCACCAGGTCCGTGTCTGAGTTGTGGGCGGTGCACTTCATAGAGAGCACTACCAGGGAAACAGACCGGGGCCAGGGTTCATGTCCTGGCCCCAGTCTGCGCTCTGACCCGCCCTCCCCCCCAGGTGGCCCCACCACTGCTGCTAACCTTCCTGAGCTGAGCCAGGTGCAGCTGGACTGGACGGGCAGACAGGCCTGGAGGGCGGGGGCACTGTCCTGGGGTGGATGGCAGGATGTTGCAGGAGCTGTGCAGAGGGGGGACCAGCGGGGGTTGAGTGGTGCTCACAGAGGAAGCTCAGTTGCATAGAACGTTCTAGGTGGAGGGTGGGGAGGGTCTTAAGGCCACACCTGGGGAGCACCATGAAGAACTTGGGGTCAGGAAAGCACATGGTCACAAGTTGAAGCAACTGGCCCAGAGGGAGAACGGGAGAGGATGGAATGGGCTCGCATCAAGCCAGGCTTCCCTGATGTCTGGGAGCACAGGCTGGGAGTGGTGGGGGGGCTGGGCTGGGAACGTAGTACAAAGGGCCCTCACCCACGCAGGGCTCGGAGCTTGGGGGGAAGAGGGGGTGGTCCGGTGTGCCTAACATCTGCCTCCTGTGAACTAGGGACTCGCCAGCACCATCTAATTTGCTCTCCCCCATCTCCCACTGTTCCAAACCCGTGTGCCTCCCATGGGCGGGCTGCTCAGCTCTGGGGGTGTGGGTAGTCCTTCCAGGAGGCTGTGTGGATTAACTGAGGTGGGAGCCACCCGTCAGAGCTCGCCCTTTGTAGCTCCTGTGACCTCAGACTGTACTCTTCTCTACCCTGAGGTGGCTACCCTAACCATCCACAGCTGCCTTCTTCAGTGGGTCTTCAGCTTCCTGAGCCACCCCGTTCCGCCTGCAAGGAGAGGGCGTGAGCGGAGAGATGGGAGCAACTCACCTGTCATTCAGTCCCTGTGGCAGTTAAATCATCTGGGTCAGTTTGAGACTTAAGAGTGACTTAAGAGTGAAAGGGTGGAGTTTGGCCTGTCAATCAGGTCACAGCTTGATGGCCTCTAGAGGCACTAAGGAGACAAGTAGCTCACTGGATGCAGGACGCTCCCTGCGTGACATGCTTGCTGACAAGACATGTGGAGCTGCCCTGGAGCTGCAGGAGCCATGTGGAGACCCCTGTCAGCACTGAGATGCCTCTACTGCCACTGGATCCACAAGACTTCCCACCCACTGGCCTGTGATCTTCCTGCATTCGGCATCATTGCATGTGTTGCATGAGTCTGAAGAGAACTTTGTAGATTTGTATTGGATGTATGGGTTAATATTGGGCTTATGGACTTGATCTGGACTGGGTTGGGCTGTTTTCTCAATATTCAATTGCTCTTGTCTATAAAGCTCTTTCTTGTACACATATGAGTGTCTGAATTTGTTTCTCTAGTCTACCCAGATGGACACGGTCCCTTTGACTGGTGTGTTAGTCTGGGTACTTTGGAGAAACAAATCCACAGCAACTCATGTATAAAAGAGTTTTATGTAAAGAAAATGTGCATCATGTAAACATCCCAACCCAATGCTGCCCAAGCCCACAAGTCCAACATTAACCCATTAACCCAACACCAGTCCACAAAGTC